TGTGGAAAGAGACACTGGAAAAGCTCCATACCATCAGCTAAAACTAGGCCAGGGGAAGACTGTGGAACAGTCCATCAATTGCTTGTATGCAAGTTCACACTAAAGCTGAAGAAAATTAAAACATGTACATGAGAGCCAAAATGACCTTGAACGTATCCCATCAGAATTTAGAGGTCATCTCAAGAACAGATTTGATGCATTGGATACTACTGACCGAAGACCAGAAAAGCTATTGGATGATGTCAAGAACATCAAAAAGAAAGAAAGCAAAAGTTCATTAAAAGGACAAGAAAGAAGGACAAGACGAAAATGAATGTCAGAAGGGATTCTGCCACATGCTTTCCAGCATTGAGATACTAAAAAAGCAAATGGAAGAAATGAGGAGGGGAGGTAAAAGAGCTGAACAGAAAATTTCAAAGGACAGCTCGAGAAGACAAAGTCAAATATAACAAAATGTTCAAAGACCTGCAGTATGAAAACCAAAAGAGAAGAACATGCTCAGCATTCCTCAAGCTGAAAGAACTGAAGAAAGAATTCAAGCCTCAACTTATAATATTGAAGGATTCTATGGACAAAATATTGACTGATGCAGAAAACTTCAAAAGAAGATGAAAGGAACACACAGAGTCACTCTACCAAAAAGAAATGGTCAATGTTCAACCTTTCAGGAGGTAGCATATGATCCAGAACCATGATAGTAAAGGAAGAAGTCCAAGGTGCATTGGCGGTATTGGCAAAGAACAAGGTTCCAGAATTGATGGGATACAAATAGAAATCTTTCAACAAACTGAGACAGCACTGGAGGCACTCACTCATTTATGCCAAGAAATTTGGAAGACAGCTACTTGGCCAACTGATTGGAAGATATTCATATTTGTGCCCATTCCAAAGAGAGGTGATTCAACTGAATGTAGAAATCATTGGACAATATCATTAATATTGCATGAAAGTAAAATTTGTTAAAGATAATTAAAAAAACAGCAACAGTACATTGACAGGGAACTGAGAGAGGGTTATGTTGGATAAAGATGAGGACATTGAACGAGGGCTATCATTTCTGATGTCAGATGGATCTTGACTGAAAGTAGAGAATACCAGAAAGATGTCTACCTGTGCTTTATTGGCTATGCAAAGGCTTTCAGTTGTGTGGATCATGAAAACCTATGGACGATATTGAGAGAGAAGAGTATTCTGGAATACTTAATTGTGCCCGTGAGGAACCTGTATGTAGACCAAGAAACAGTTGTTAGAACTGAACAAGAGGACACTGAATAGTTTAAAATTAGGAATGGTGTATGCCAGGGTTCTATTCTTTCACCATAATTATTAAACCTGTATGCTGAGCAAATAATCTGACGAGCTGCATTATATGAAGAACATCAGGATTGGAGGAAGACTCATTAACAACTTGCAATATGCTGATGATACAACCTTGCTTGCTTAAAGCCAAGAGGACTTAAAATACTTTCTGATGAAAATCAAAGACCACAGCCTTTGGTATGGGTTGCAACTCAATGTAAAGAAAACAGAAAATTTCACCACTAGACCAATAAACAACATCCATATAAAGGTAGTAAAGATTGAAGTTGTCAAAGACTTCATTTTGCTTGGGTCTACCATCAACATTCATGGAAGCAGCAGTTAATAAACCAAACGACGTATTGCATTAGGTGAAATCTGCTACACAAGACCTCTTTAAAGTGTTGAAGAGTAAAGATGTCAGTTTGAGGATTAAGGTGTGCCTGACCCAAGCTATGGTATTTTTAGTAGCCTCATATGCACGTGAAATTTAGATGATGAATAAAAGACGACCTTAGAGAATTGATGCATTTGAGTTATGGTGTTGGTGGAGAATATTGAAAGTACCATGGACTGTCAGAAGAAGAAACCAATCTGTGTTGGAAGAAGTACAGCCAGAATGCTTCTAGAAGCCAGATGGCAAGACTTCATCTCTCATACTTCAGACATATTATCAGGAGGGACCATTCCCCAATGAAGAACAATATCATGCTTGGTAAAGTGAAGGGTCAGCAAAAAAGAGGAAGATTCCCCACGAGATAGATTGGCACAGTGGCAGCAACAGCGGGCTCAAGGGTAGCAGTGATTGTGAGACTGGCACAGGACCGGGCACTGTTTGGTTTTGTTGTGCATAAGGTCACTGTGAATTGGGACCTACTTGGCAGCACTAATAACAACCACAAAGCAAAGAAGGGATCCTTGATGTAGTGCAGTTGGTAAAGTACTCTGCTGTTAAGCAAAAGGTCAGTGATTTGAACCTACCAGCTATTCCACAGGAGAAAGGTGAGGCCGTCGGTTTCCGTAAAGATTGACTGCCTAGTAAAACCTTGCTGGACAATTCTGTTTTGTTCTACGGGTCAGTATGAGTTGGAACCGACTTGATAGGAGTAGGGTAAAGTAAAGACACTTGGACATTAAGTTAAGTAAAATGCACATATCACACTCTGAAAAGGTGGGTGATGAATTCTTCCTGAATTCACTATGTTTTCTGGAAGTTCCTGTTTTCTGATAAAATAAAGCAGATTTTTTTTAGGGCCAGAACAAATCAATGCTTAATGTAAAAGGAGGCTTTGGTGTTGATCCTGGAACCTGAGCAAGGTCGTAGATTTCTAGTGATTTGTGCTTGGGTTGGGAAGGGAGCAAAAGCAAAACTCCAGTGTACATTATCAGAAATGAACTCTAGCTCCTATCAACACTTCTCAGCAGGCTGCTAACAATTCAATTAATTCAGTGTGTTTCAAGTCTTTCATCTGGTTGATAAGGGAACAAAGTGTGTGTATTTGTGTGTGTGTGTACGTTACGTGCGTGGTAGGCAGAGGAGAAAGCCAACTAGGTAAACTGCAAAGGGCATAATCTCTGACTGGTCTG